GAGCCTCTTTGGGTTGTCTTGAAAGCCTTTTCCCTTCCTGGAAAGCCCCGTGGGGCCCTCTGAGGCTGCGTCGAAGGAGTCTCCGCCGCCCTGGAGCCAACGTTTGGCCCGTGTCGGGGCAATCTCGGGGCCGTCGTGAACCTCGCGGGAAGCATCTCGAGCGAAGCCAGGGGCCTCTCGGCGCCATCTCGGGGCCATCCCAAGGCGATCTAGGGGCCTGCAGGGGGCCCGGCGCAGCGGCGGGGATTTGTGTCATTCATTACCTCCGTTTCCTCTCGGATCTCGTCGCCCGTTCGCTTGCGAACTGTTCGCGCGGGGGGGCCCGCCAGCCGTCGCGGTCAAGGGTCGCCATCTTGACGGCGGAAACAAAACTTCCAGGGCCGAAGAAGACAAACCCCGGGACTATCGGGGCTCTCTCTGGCTTCTCCACGCGCGCTGTCGGGGGCCTCGAAGCCGCGGCGGGGCGCCCCCAAGGTAACTCCGCAAGTGTTACGCGCGCGTTTGTTTTGGAGTCTTGGGGCTTTCCCTGGGCGCACCCGAGAGGGGGGGGGGCCCTGCTGTTGCGGGCGAGGGCCGCCGTCTTGAGTGGCAGACCCCAGCGCCTCAACGACCCAACGCTTTGGCGCCCGACCAGCTGGGCACCTCCGTGATCATGTTCGCCCAAGCGGGATGTTGGCACAAGCTCTGGCCCAAGCAGTGAACGAAATTAATTCGCGCCTCTGACTAAATTGCGCCACGCGCAGTGCAATCGGCGCCTGGCCCCCCGCCCCCGCCGCCGTCTGAAGCGGCGTTGGGCCCGGGGTGATGCGCGTTTAAAAGCCCCCCAAGATGCATCGGGAAGGTTGTCGTCGAAATAAGCGTTCGTCGCCGCTGCCGCCGATGCGCGAGGTGGAGGCGGGCCCGCCAACAGCTGCCGCGGCGTAGCGGGGTTGCTATCCTGCCCCTCCGACATGCTGCCAACTTTACCCGCTGCCCTTGCCTTCGGCCTCGGCAAGATTTGCCCGCGGCGCCTCGGGCGAAAAAACGAGGAGGGCCCCTCCCCCCCCGCCCCCGTGGAGGGAGGGGGGGATGCACGGGGCCGGGGGGGCACGGGGGGAAGTGGAGTCTGGACAGGGAACAGCGCCGAGAAGGCGGAGGAGAGGGGAACAGAGGATAAAGAAGGAGAGGGGAAAAGAGGGCTCGAAGGGGGGGCGGGGAAAGGGGCGCCACTGCACCTACTTCGCACCGGGCCGCCGCAGGGCTTCATAGAAGGCGGGCGCGCCGCCGCGCCAAGGTCGCCCCCTAGACAACCTGGCGCGAGTGCGCAGCAGCTGGCCGACCGAAAAGGCCGCCTCCTCGGCCCCCTTGCCGCGGAATCCTGGGCCTGATCCAGGTGCGGCGGTGGCCCTCAAGGCCTGGTTGACGAGAGGGATTTGACTGGACTGGTACACGCCTGCGCTCGCGATGGCACTCTTGGCCTCCGCCAGCTCAATGTGCACCCGAAGCTCTAAGCTCGCGAGTGCGGCCTCGCGCCCCAGCCCCTGGTTCCTAAAGTGCCAGCACATCCGACCGCGCCGCTCCTCGCGGCTTGCCTCCACAGCAAATACGCTAGGCTTCTCAACGCCACATGCTTTGCACGCCCTGGCGTTCGCCAGCACGACGTCAAGGTGCGCCTGCCGCTCCTGCATGGCGTGGGCGGGCATGAACTCCTCCTTCTCCGCGAGCCCGAACTGCGCGTCCTGGAATTGCCACAATGGAGGATGCCCACTACGTAACCGCACTCCGCCTCTTCCTCGTCAATCTCGTCCCCAGGCTCAACGCGGGCCCTCGGTGGCGGTCCTGCTCCGCCTGGTCGCCCTGCTCGGGGGGTGGCCCTGCTCCTCTGGTACGGACTTCAAGAGCTTGAGCAGGAACTTCGGGCGCGGAGCGAAGCCGTTCTCCTGGATGAACGCTTTCGCGACCTGGTTGAGTGCCGCGCCGTGCTCCCTCGCCCGATCAGCGCACACACCGAGACCTGTCCACTAACAGTGTGACCTGTGTCGTGTGTCCTGTGTGCTGTGTGTTGTGTGTTGTGTCTTTTGTGTTGTGTCATGTGTGTTGTGTCCTGTGTGCTGTGTCATGTGTGTTGTGTCCTGTGTCCTGTGTCCTGTGTCCCGTGTCCGGTGTCCTGTGTCCTGTGTCCCGTGTCCGGTGTCCGGTGTCCTGTGTCCCGTGTCCAGTGTTGTGTGGTGTGCGGTGTGTGGTGTGTGGTGGGTGGTGTGTGGTGTGTGGTGTGTGGTGTGTGTGCGTGTGGTGTGTGTGGTGTGTGGTGTGTGGTGTGTGTGTGTGTGTGGTGTGTGGTGTGTGGTGTGTGTTGCGTGGTGCGTGGTGTGTGGTGTGTGGTGTGTGGTGTTGTGTGTGGTGTGGTGTGTGGTGTGAGGTGTGTGGTGTGTGGTGTGTGTGGTGTGTGGTGTGTGTTGCGTGGTGTGTGGTGTGTGGTGTGTGGTGTGTGGTGTGTGTGGTGTGTGGTGTGTGGTGTGTGGTGTGTGGTGTGTGGTGTGTGGTGTGTCTGTGGTCTGTGGTCTTTGGTCCGTGGTGTGTGGTGTGTGGTGTGTGGTGTGTGGTGTGTGGTGTGTGGTGTGTGGTCTGTGGTGTGTGGTGTGTGGTGTGTGTTGTGTGTTGTGTGTTGTGTTGTGTGTTGTGTGTTGTGTGTTGTGTGTTGTGTATATATGTGTATGTGTGTGTGGAGGGGGGTCGTGCGCACGTGCGTCGGGATGTTTTTTCGTACGCAGGTTTGCTCCATGTGCTACATCCCTTCACACAGGCTCCCAATGAACTCACGAAAAGCCCCCAAATATCACCCCAGGTGACAACGAAATGGCAATGCAACGCTGCAACCGTGCCACCCTGCAGCGCTGCTGGGCGGCTTCCCCAAGCGCCCGTGGCGGGCAAGCGCGGTAGCGAGACTGGATAATGGTCGATATGGTCATCGTCCACCGCACGGCTGATCCTGTGCTCGGCCCGGAACTGCCCGATGAGACTCCTGACGTCCGTGGCCAGGCGCCTCACGAGGTCGGCGACATCCCCGTTCTCCTCGCCCTGCTTCTTCAGGTGGTCGCCGAGCCAGAAAAGGATCATGTTCGCGTGCTCGACGAAGGCGTTCTGACAGCCGCCGGCGCGGAGGTGTTCCGCGCTTGCGCCGGCCTCGCCCCGCAGCATCGCCAGCTCGCTCACCACCTCGGGCGTCCAAGAGCCTCGTGCACCGCGATGCTGCGCGTTTTTCTCCCCCCCCTTCGGCGCTCCAGGGCGGTCGGGAGTGGCCGCGGGCGCGGCCGCGACCCCGCTGGCCGAGGCAGCCGTGGCCACAATGGCCACACGCCCCGCCCCTCCCTCCGTGCCCGCTGCTTCCCCAGGAGCAGCACGGACTGCCCTGGACTAGGAGGAGGAGGAGGAGGAGGAGGAGGAGGAGGAGGAGGAGGAGGAGGAGGAGGAAGAGGAGGAAGAGGAGGAAGAGGAGGAAGAGGAGGAACCGTTTTGGGACTAGGGCAGCTATCTTCGCGCTTCGCGCCCCGCGAAGGGCGCAGCGCGATCATCTTCGCGCGTTCGCGCCGCACCGCCCCCCCGAACAGGATGAGGGGCCCGCGCCTCGCTCTGATATCGCCCAGACCGCGAAGCGCGACTGGCTTCGCACCCTCGCTGCGGCCCTAGACTGTACAGACCTAAACCTTCGGAGGTCCACACGCGCGCCAGGGGCGGCACCATCGAGACCCATCGAATAACCCACCCTGGGCGGTGGCATGCCTAAGCGTCGTCCAGTACTGGATTGCTGGGTGACGCTCGGACGTGCAACCGCCCAGGGGTCGGTCCCCCCCATCGGTTCTCGGTGGCAGTGGTCTCTGTTTCTCCTCTGGTCCTCCTCCTCCTCGTCCTACTTCTCCCCCATCTTTGACGAAAACAAGAAAAAACAGAAACGGATTGCAGAACGGGATTGAGATGCGTCGGGAATCTCTGAGAGCTGGCAGGGCTGCAAGGTGTGTCGGGCGTAGTGGCCGTTCCAGAGCGCCAGAACGCTCTGAAAAGGTTTGTCCTTGTCCTAGGCCTGTCTGACCCTCCTCCTCCTCCACCTCCTCCTCCACCTCCTCCTCCACCTCCTCCTCCACCTCCTCCTCCACCTCCTACCCCACCTCCTACCCCACCCCCACCTTGCGGAGCGGGTGGTAGAGGATGTGCAGCATGGGGCGCACGTCTGGACGCACGTCGGCTGGCTGGAGCCATGGTCGTGTACCCGTCGTATGTGCTGGGGTGCCAACCAGATGCACTGAAAACTCAACTCAAGAAGGCAAGAAAAGGCTGCAACACCGTTGTGCGAACATGCGAAACCCTTGGACGTCCAGAACCGCCTCATGACGGGCCGGCAGGCCAAGGATGCAGGGGCACCCTTGCCGACTTGCTCTGAGCTCTGGGCAGATGGTGGCCGCACCCCTCAGGCAGCGCAAGGAGATGCAGGCCTGACGGCCCTCCATGGCGCGCGGAGCCGCCAGTCCTGAGGCGGCGCCAAGGGAGAGAAAAGGGTGCCCGAGCGCCGACCCAAGAAATCCACGCGGAGCTCCTAACGTTTGTGTCTGTGCGCTTGTTTGAGTCAACGAGTTCGGCCATTCCAACTGCCTCGCCGCCCTTCGCTCGGCTGATCCCAGGAGCCCCTAGAGCACATACGGCGGCCAGACGACCATCGGGCTGGAGCTGCGCGTCGAGCGCGCAGATCACCATCTGCGGTGCGAGCTGGGCGCAGACCTCCATGGGGTCCGCCTGCGGCCCCAGCCCCCCTGAGCAAACATGCACACGCCGCCAGAGCCCACCCGCCCTCGTCGTCTACGGGGGAAGGGGGAAAGGACCTGAACATCGCTTCACCGATGCCCATGCCCACTGGCATGGCCTTGGCCCCACTGGCAGACATAATCTCACTGGCTGGGTATACGGTATACGTGCGGTTCCCTGCGGGTTTCGCGGGACCTGTCCCACCTGGAGGGGTGGGCTGGTGGGGCTGAGATACAATGGCCCAGCGGGGATGGAGATCGGTTCGACGATGCTGAGGCACGAGGCACTGGGGGTCTCTGCCCCTCACCCAAGAAGGACCATCTGCTCCACCAACATCCAGATGATCCAGCAGTTGGCGCTGAACTGCCGGCAAAGGCCAGGCTGCGGCGCGGCCTCGCGGCCGCGCGGGAGCTGACGGACCATCTCCTCCGCGTGCGACACCGTCTGGGCGAGGAAGGCCCGCACCTTCTGCGGGGACGGGTGCTTGAGGCTCAGCCGCTGCACGACCTTCTGTGCGCACTGGCAGAGCAGCTCGTGCTCTGGCCGGCTCGCTGCCAGCGGCTCCTCCTCGGTGTCGCCCCCGCCCGGGGCAGCGGCGTCCTGGCGGCCCGCTGCCTCGACGTCCCCACGCGCGAGCTGAGTGCATTCTGAGAACTCAGGTCGACCTACTCTGCCGCGCAGCTCGTCCTGGGTCGTCCTCAGCGCGTTCGCGCGGGCCAGCTCGGACAAGAACCGCGCGGATGCCTTCGGTGTCCGCACCTGCGTGGTGTAGTCCACGTGGCAAAGCCCGAAGCGCTTGGTGTAGCCTTCGACCCACTCGAAGCAGTCCATCAGCGACCAGGCGAAATAGCCGCGGACGTCGGTGCCGCCCATGATGGCCTCGTGAAGCTGCACGATGTAATCGTGGTAGTAGTTGACCCGAAAGCTGTCCTGCGTTGCCGTTTGCACGTCCTCGTCCTTCACGGCGCAGCCGTTCTCCGTGACGATTATTCCGCAGCTCGGCGAATACTCCTTAACAGGGCAGGTGGTCAACCACAAGTAACTCGAGACCTGGCCTCCTCGGAGAAGAGGACGAGAGGAGAAGAGGGAGGAGATGGAGGAGGAGGAGAAGAAACAGGGGGAGCAGGAGGATGTGAGAGGAGAGGGATGATGAGAGGGAGGTAAAGGAAAAGGAAATCCTCCTCCTCCTCCACCTCCGCTTCTCCACTTCCTCCTCTTCCTCCTCCTCCTCCTCCTCCTCCTCCTCCTCCTCCTCCTCCCCCTCCTCCTCCTCTTCCTCCTCCTCCTCTTCCTCCTCCTCCTCCTCCAAACAGGGAGCGAATCTCGCAAGCCCTGCGGTTCGGGCCGCCCTGGATCCTTGTGGATGTGCTCGCACACCCTCTTCAGGCCCCAGGGCACGACGGCGAACTCCGAGTCCGTGCGCAGGGCACTCGCGTCGTACTCGAGCCGGACGGCCTGCAAAGGTGGGCTTGGCGGCGCGCAGGATGGCGCCGGGCAAGGGGGGCGGCCGTCCAAGACGGCCGAGAAAAGGGAGCCTACAAAGGACGCGCACAACCACGTACATGAACACGGCCCCCTAATCCGCGAGACCAGTCGCGTGATACGAAGGTTCGCGCCATGCGTACTCTCGAACCCAACGTGGATTCATGCACGTGCACGTCCTTCTTTCGCCTCTGAGAAAGGGGCCCTCCCACAAGGGGTCGAGAAGGCCTGCAGGACGGCCAGGAAGGCTCCTCAGAGGCCAGGAGGGCTTCTCAGGCGCCGGGAGCGGTTCCCGGAGCCCCCGGGAGGCCCGCCCCCCCACCCCCGCCCTCTCCCCGCGCCCCACCCCCGCCCGCTCGCCGCCGAGAGGAGAAGCAGCAGCAGCAGCAGCAGCAGCAGCAGCAGCAGCAGCAGCAGCAGCAGCGGTACGATGACGTCAAGGCGGGGTTGGCGGCGCGCATCTGGGGTTTGGGGAGGGGGGGAGGCTTCTTAGTGTGAGTGATCAATTGTGCAATCAGCACGTTGTAGCAGAGCACGTACCTGCTATCGTTTGGCTCAGGCGCTTTGACCAGTTTTCAGCTACGCATCAGCAGCAGAAGGATTTCCTCCATATCCCAGATATCAGCGATATCGAATGACAGTGGCAGCGGAGCGGTTCACCCCGCGGCGGCTGCGCCGGCGGCGCTGGCGGCCTCTTGGCCTTGGTCGCAGCGCGGCCGCCTGCAGCGCAGGACTCTCCCATCACTCTGTTCCTCATCACTCTGCTCCTCTACTACATGCTCGTCCTCTTCCTATCTCTTGTGTGGTTTCTCAACAGCGCCGGGCGACCTGCACAGATGGGCCCTAATCTGGAGAGAAAGAGAGAGAGAGAGAGAGGACAGCTACATCTCAGGCTTGGACGGCAACCCCTCCTCATGGATGGGTTACAAAGACGAGGTTCGCATATGGACGCTGGGTTTGAAACTAGACGTTCAAAGCAACATCGCAGCACGTATGACCTGGAAACTCGGAGGAACTGCGAGACGGAAGGCCCTCATTCTCAGCAGCGAAGATCTGCAGCTTTTCCGAGGACAACAAGAAGGTCGAGCAGAAAGGCAAGATCACGGTCGAAGCTATTCCCCCGGACCTCAAGCGAGGCACCGGGAACCTCATGGAAGCGCTCGAGTCCCTGTGCCCGCCGAGGGTGTGCAGGAAGGGCGAGACGATGACGGATTTTTTCGAGACGCACAAGTATGCACGCAGAGCTGGTACCAGGATCTCGGACTACATCACGATTTCGACCAAGGCGTGACGAAGCTGTCCGAGGACGGCGTGGAGCTCACGGAGGATTCGGATATTCTTGGTTGGTTCTTCATGCGGCGACTGAATACTACGAGGGAGCAGCGTGAGAGACTCATAGCAGCGCTGCCGAGCGACGCCTTCCAGTTGCGAGAAGTTCAGACGACAGCGATGCGGAATGTTCAAGACATTCACATCAACGATTGTGGTCACCCACAGCAGCGGCGACCCTTCGAGCAGAAGAAGATCCAGCCAGGTGGCGAAGGTCGGCCACCACCAAAAGGAGTCAATGTAACGGAGTACGAGGATGACGAAGGCCCCGAGGAGGACGTGACAAAATATCCTGCACCCCTCATGCGGGTGCGTCTAGCGGCCCCCAGAACTGGTCCAATCATTCCCCCGTGATCACAGAATCGGACAGACCTGCTCTGTGGGTCCCCAAGACGCCCTGTGTATATTCAAATTTTCAGCGTCGTGCTCGGATCAACATGGGACTGGAAGTACTGTCATTCCTTGAATGGAGAGAGATGCGGAGGGTGGACCATCATAGTTGCCCCTGGAATTGCTTTGTGAGTCCTGTTTACAGGCTACCCGGAAAACAACCCATGGGCCCACGGACATTTTATTGTATAATCTCTGAACTACTGACTCGTGGGATGTCTTCAATTCCTCGTTGGGAACACTGACAACGTTGGCAGTCCGAGGATAATTGTTACCATTCCTAGTCATCACAACCTGCTGTACCCATCGTCCACGAGACATGTGCTGTATCTTTTCGCCAAAAAGAAATTAGGTTCCTTCTTCTTCGTCTGGTTCCGAGTGGTGCGCGTATTTCAATTCCTCATCTTTCCACTCCGCAACAACCATCTCAGAATCAATATTGCTCGGGAACCGTAGCGCTGTGCATGTAACCGGGGCGCTGAGCTTCCCTAGCGGCATTGCCGTTCGGGAGTCAAGTATTCCAAGTTCCTCGGCAACCCCCGCGGTTATCCTGTTCGGGCTGCTGGGGGAGAACTCATGCATAAGACGACACTTATCATGGGCATGACTATTATTATCATCGCTTCTCCAGGAACTTTCCTGACAAGTCAAGCAACAATGATCTGGGAAATATGCGCTCTCATAGTTGTCCCTCGGCTGTGCCGTCGCCGATTCCTTCGCGCGCTCACTGGCCGAGTACTTCTCGTCCACTGGGGTCACCATGGACTGTGCCCAGGAGATCCCAGCGAGTTTGCATAAAGAGAATCATTTTTCCCCCTGGTCATCTCGGGCGGTTGCACCGCCCAGATGCCGGGGGTCTGTCGCCCAGGGTGGGTGCGCGACTGAGAGGCTATAGGGTGATGCCCACTGCCCGCGACGGGGAAGCGGCCGCGGCCACGCGGCGGCCCCGCCGGGGGGGGGGCGCGGCCGACGGCGGCGCCACCCCTGCTCATGAGAGAAAATGGCAGCGGCACATACATCACGATGAGGGGAAGAGAGATCAAGGGAGGAGTCACTGACGCGCGCGCAAGAACAACGTGAATCTGTTTTGCAAACACATGTGCGTAATCTTCCGCAAGCGTGCAATCCTTGCCGCGCGCATCCACGCGCGCGCGTGTGCCGTCGCACTTCCGCTCCAAACCACTAGTCACAATCTCAGGTGTGGAGGCAATGGTCCATGGTTTCTTCGTGGGTTTCCCGTTTCAATATTTCAGTCCACGCGCGCATCCATGCAATGCTTTTCTATGCTAACCTATCTCTCCCACGAATGCTTTCACTTGAAGGTCTTCCCCATACTGACACTGACTGGGCCACCCAATGCAAACGCCCCCCCCCCCCAAAAAAAAAAAATCAACGAGAGCGCGGGGCATCTGTCTAAAATTCATGAAAGAGATATCATGAATCTGTTATGATTCCTCGGGGCCCCCGAAGGGACCTGCGGCCGCCTGCACGAGAATCGCGGGCTGCATTTACATACTGCCAGGGAGAACCTCCAGTGCATGATCGAGATACCAAGCGAAAAATGTTTCCCCTTGAACTCTCTGGCGAATCGTAACACCCTACATGAGTTGTCAACGAAGTTTATTGAATTATCTACTGTGCTACTTGGCCCACAAAAACTTTCAAGTATTAATCTTTCTCCGTTCTAATCGTTTCTGTCCAGCGTTGCCCCCGGGCAGAGCTATCGAAACCATCGATTCGTTGTCATTCGACTCGGCCGCAGCCGCATCAATAATTTTGCCGCGGCGCTCTTCCTGTTCCCAGATCTCAGGAGACTGCGCCTGTGCATCTGAAGCATCGGACTCACTGTCAGAACCATAGCCATATGTTTGTGTCTTCTGGTTAATTTTCGCTGATGGTAGCTTTTCCTGGCACCGCCCTTGTCACTCTCGGAGGGTCTCGGGCTGTTAGCACCTCTGGCTGTGCCGGGTGCATTGATAGCTCTCTGGTTGGTGGCTACTGCTGAGTTCGGTGCCGGCAAAGGATGCGCACGTGCATGTACCTCACCAGGCTCGGCTTTGCCGTCAGGTGAGGTGGTGCGACTTTGGCCACGTCGCTGGCTTACCTTTGGTGACTCTCTTCATTTTATGCATGATTTCGCTCTGCGCCACACCCCCTTGAAGCACCGCAGCCCTTAGACCTGTCCGCGACTTAAGAATCCCCCCGCTGTCGAAGGGAAATCCGTCAGCGAACAGCGATGCCACATGGTCCTGATATCGAACCTGACCGCACAAGAACGGGAAGCGACCTCGTAGCAGTGCTTGTCGTCAAAGCTCTGGACGCCAGCGTTCGTACTGGGAGCTCTGGCGTTCGAAGCTGCCCACGTCATCGTTCGTAATGGAGCCTTGGGATGTCGTGGTCGGTCTCTCGTAGGCCTCTTAGAAGCAAGTATGAAGCCTCTTGGGGGTCGTTTTTGGGGGCCGTCTTGGGGGCATCTTGGGGGCCTTTTTGGGGCCTCTTGGGGGCCTCTTGGAGCGTCTTGGGGGGGCCCCGGGGGCCTCCTGGACCCTCCGGGGGGGCACTTGGGGCCGAGGATCCGAAAAGTCCGTTCGTGTACCTCGTCTGGGCCCCCTCTAAGAACCATATTGACGGCCTCTGAGGCCGCCGCGAAGCCTCTTGGGGTCGTCTTGGGGCCGCCTCGGGGCCTTCTGGTGCCTTCTTGGGGCCGTCTTGGGGGCCTCTTGGGCCGTCTTGAGGCGATCTGGGGGGCCTCTTGGGCCGTCTTGGGGTGATCTTGGGGGCCCCTTGGGCCGTCTTGGAGCGTCGGGACACGGAAAAGGCGAGAACCCCCAAAACCTTCAAAAACTATTCAAAAATCATAGATGTGTGACTCTTTGGCGCTCTTGTGAGGCCTCTTCGAAGCCTCTTGAGGCGTCTTGGAGGCCTCTTGAGGGCCTCCTGGGCCGTCTTGGAGCTCTCTTGGACCGTCTGGAAGCCATATTATGGGCATCTTGGAACGCTCTAGGGCGGTCTTGAAGCGCTCTTGGGCCGTCTTGGAGCCCTAGTGGCCGTCTTGGGCGCGTCTTGGTCAGATGTTTTGAACGGGTTGACAACCTGACCGGACAAGAACGGGAAGCGCCGTTTTTATCCACCACGTGCGTCAGAGACCGTATTGGCGAGAACGTCAGAGAAACCCATAAACGCAACAGAACAGACTAAATGATGGCCTGCCGCGCTGGTCTGTCGAGATAGTCTGCTGCCCTGGCCACATCATG